CAGTGGCAGAGGAGCCCACACTTTCAACGTCAAAGGTATCCTCAGCCATTTCGGAAGATGCTGTGGAAGCTGAATCATCTCCCTCAGGTTCATCCCATTGCCAGAAAGAACAGGTCCCATTCCACTCATAGACATGACTCCCTGTCTCCCCGTCCTCAACGATGATCCCATTCTCGTCCCGTTCCCGCTCAAGAGTAACGACACGCGCAGCGAGAACGAAATGCCTTGGTGTATTGGCCGAAGTGTTCACGGTTACATGGTTAGCCCGTCTCTGTCGGCCGAAATTAGGGGGAAATTGTCCCTCCTTTCCCCCACCTGGCCAATAGCAGTTTTGCGCAGTATGTTTGCTCTTATCTCGTGCCTTACAGCCAGGATTAGAGCATCCGATGGTAGAAGATCTGGCCGCTAATGCTTGGGACTGTGTGGGGCCTTTACCCACCACGCGTAAGGTAGCAGCATGGGTCTGAAGGTGGGAGATTATATCTGTGGAGCTAGACAGCTGATACAAGCTTGGGAGGATAGGCATCCAGTTGGCCATTGGGAGAATTGAGCGAATAATGATACCACGGAATTCCTGGTCTGTGAGAGGGGTGGCACGAAGATCATTAACGGCACGTCTCTTTGTACGGAGCTCTGCAACATGGGCATCAATATCACCATTGCTATCGAATTTGACTGCATTCAAGGACGTCTCAGCCTCGGAGAGAGCCATGTCAGTCTTCTTGGCATGTTCAGCGATGATAGAATCCCAACATTCCTTCGCTGTCCCGTCGGTCCTTACCCCTAGTCCGATAGGGTCAAGAACATTGAGAACGATGTGGGAATGAGCTAGCTGATCACGGAACGTCCATTCGTCATGGGAAGGGCTCAAAGAGTAGATTGGTGTGGGGTCTGGTGGTAGTGGAGTAGTTGTTGGTTCACTCGCAGAAGTCGCAGAGGCGGCAGGGCAGGGTATAGTACCTTCTATGTACCCCCACAATCCTTTCCCCTTCAATAGTTCAGTAAGCTGAAGTTTCCATGAGGCGTAGTTTTTCCTGTTGAAGTGGCTATGGGTATCGGGGAGGATTGTAACTCCCGACATAGTCGATGACATGTTAGGAGTATGTGTTCAATAGTAATGGTTGGACAAGTGTGGGCAGTGGTATTAGCCACTAACTCTTATCGGCTTAGATCAACCAAGGATCGCCACTCGCACTTTGGTGGACGATAAACTTGGAGGTCAAAGACGATGGAATAGAGCCAGGTGCGAACTTAGATAGTTCACGAAGCGGGGAGCTTTGAGTTAGGTAGATTAAACCTTAGCTGAAGCTGGAGTTTAGGCCAGCTGAGGCTTTACTTAAATACATGCTTGGTAGACTAAAAATAGTACTGTGGGAACTGTCTGATAGGAATCACACCATATGGTAAGCAGGAATACGTAAGAAAAGAAAAAGAAAAGAATGAATCGTAACATTACCCCCTCCTTAAGACTCATTCGTCCTGAATGAGCTTGAGCTCTCCTCCTGCGTCGCGGATTCCGTGTAGTAGGCGCTGGAGTCATCCTCGGCGTCTTCCTCGTTACTACCCCAATCCCAGTTTTCATGGATTCGTTGTAGATTTTCGAGGTTGACTTCGGATTCGTCGTCAACTTCGGGTTCGATTGTGGGTATGCCGTCTGCTTCGTTGGTCGTAATCGATGGTGCTGAGAAGGAAGAGGGATAAGAGTCTTGTTGGGTGTCGCTGTTATACGACAACCCATTATCGGCTCTTGTTATCTTTCCTGTTATGCGTTGAATTTTCGCCTCGTATTCATTGACCAGCTCCTCGGCGTTAGCCATGTTTGAACATTTGACCCAAGAGTTTTCCTCCATTGGGTAACCTTTCCACTTGATGAGGTACTCGGTTATGGTTCGGCGGTTTCTTCCGCGTCCGACGATTTTGTCCCTCTGCTCTACGATTTCTTCAATCTTGTACTCCTCTTCATTGTCAATCAGCTCTGGAGGTGGTCTTTCAGGATGTGGTTGATTTGGAAAAGTGGGGGCAATGTAGGGAGTCAAGAGGGATTCGTTGAACCGGTTGTGGATTTTCCAAGCAGGGGGTAACTTCAATTCGTACGCTGAAGTCCCCTTTTTGGCGAGGATAGTGAACAGGCCGACTCGCCGATCCCCCAGTTTTTTTGTTGGACAAGGGAGGTTGATATTGGTTGTGTCCAGCCATACCTTATCTCCAACTTGGTAATCGATGGCGGCACTTTTGTGCTTGTCATAGGCCTTTTTCATCGATTCCGCCGCCCTTTCTAGTGATTTCTTCGCCTCACTCTGCGCCTTTTCTATTTCCTCCACCATTTTCCCCGCTGCTGGGACCGCGGCTACTCCTTGGGGTTTTTTAATAACTTCCCCGTCCCTTCCGAAGATGACTTTATAGGGAGAGTATCCCGTCGCCAAGTGCTGGCGATTGTTGTGGGTGAACGCAGCTAGCAATAGCCATTCGCTCCAATCATCTTGTCGATCGTTGACGAACATTTTAAGGTACTTCTCGATCTCCTGATTAACCCTCTCGGTTTGCCCGTCCATCTGAGGGTGGTAAGCGGTGGAAGGATTTCCTTCAATGCGAAGAAGTCGATAGAATTCTTTCATGAATTTGGAGATGAAAACTGAGCCGCGATCCTGAAATGACTTTTTCCGGCATTATCCCATAAGGGATGTAGACGTAGTCCCTCAGGATCTTGGCGAAGCCTAGAGAGGTGAGTTCTTCGGTGCATGCGATGGAGATGATGGCTTTTGAGAAACGATCCACTGATGACTAGTATCGAGTCGAACCCTTTAGAATTTGGGAGTTTGGTGATCATATCGACGGAAATGTGTGTCCAGGGTCATACTGGAACCTCATTGGGATGGAGAGGGGCCCTCCTTGGGTGACTGATCCGCTTTGGTTCGCTGGCAGACGTCACATCCCTTTACATAGGTTTCCACGTCCCGACGCATTCGTGGCCACCAATAGTCATGGAGGACTAGCTCTTTTGTCTTCTCGATGCCTGGATGTCCTGCGGTGATATGGTCGTGTTTGAGGCTTATGATCTCCCCTCTCAGCCTGACGATCCCCTGGAACGTATATGCGCCCGTTCGTACCACAGTAGCCCTTGGTCTCGAGAAATCCCTTTCTCGTGATTGAGCGAATCCGAGATTCCCTGGTCCCACCGACTGAGGATCATGTGTGGCAATCTTAATTCTCTCGTGTAGGTCCGTCGCGGTGGGCATGGTTAAGGCCCTGAAATGTTCCGCCTTGAGAACGACTATGTCTCGATTGTCCCCTTTCCCTTGATCGTGGTCTGCTCTTCAGCGACAGGAGGTCCGCCTTGCGATTTTGAGCTCCAGGTTTGTGGTGCAGAGTGAATTGATACTCCGCTAGTTCCATTACCCATCGCGCTTGTCGTCGGTTGAGTTTCTGGAGTTTGCGGAAGTATTGAAGGTTAGAGTGGTCCAGTCCAAATCTCGAAATCTGTAACGAGCATGCCGACGGAAACCCGACTTCCACTCAACCCAACAAACCACAGCCCGGAAGCCTACGGATTCCGATTCCCAGTTTCTATTTCATATTCTATTTCATATTCCATTTTATATTTCACTTCTCCATATTAATTTATCAATAGCCCGACATCGGTAGCGAACATGTCATCGGACCCCATCGGCTACCGACCGGTAGAATACATCCTCTGACAACCCTAGAATGTAGACCACTCCGAGTAGGAACTAGATCAGACTCCTAACTAGTATATAAGCCTTAGAATTACACTGTAGATACTCAGTTCGAATATCAACTTGGTTCAGCCCAATCTCTCTCTCTCTGACTCTAAGTCTAAACTCTTGTTCTCCAGTCCGCGGAACTCCGATCCGTTGGACTTATCTTTTACCTCGTCTCTGCCACTCCGCGGACTTCCGTCCGTATCCATCTTAGGGCTTCGGCTCAGGGGTGACGTTGCTAATAGCTTCGCCTACGCCCGACGCATCCCGCGGCATCCCGCTACGTGCACTTACTGCCGCAATCCTATTGGCATGATCCTAACAGTATATTCGAACTCAAACCCTTGAGTCGAAATTTCTTCCTAACCATGTCTTCTACTTTCACTGTTCCTCCAGAAACCAGCCGCAACTCCATGGTCAACAACCGAACCTACACCATGGAAGATATCCCTGCCTCTGCTTCAAAAGAGGGTCCCCTTCTCTTCGGATCGGATTCCGCCCCTCGCCAACAATCCCGTAGGGAAACCTACCTTCACAGTGGCTTCACTGCTCGCCAATCCGATGCTAACCAATCGCCTAACCCCTTCCTAGCCCAGCGATCAGAATCCAATGGCTGGGGCGAGTATCGAAGTGACCCTCCACGGAACCCAACTACCTCTCTGTTCAATGACATCCCAGGTCGCGATGACGATGACCAAGGTTCGGAAGACGGGGAATTCCCCCCTCACATGCCAATGAACGGCCGCGGAAACCCATTGGGAAATCCTGGCGGTGGCCCACCCAATCCTGGTGGCCCCGGAGGTCCTGGTGGTCCTGGTGGTCCTGGTGGTCCTGGAGGAGGACCTAACAACAATCCTGGTAACAATCCTAATCCTCCCAATAACGACGCCCAGATCCTCATTCAACTCATGAATGTCCTACGCGGCATCTCTGATGCTGTCAATGGCAATCGACAACAGTGCGGTACGCACCAAGGTCAAGGAACCAGATACCTTTGACGGTTCGGACTCCCGAAAACTTAAGGCCTTCATCGTCTCCCTCCAGTTGAACTTCAACGACCGTCCCGACGCCTTCTGATCGGATACGGCAAAAGTCAACTACGCTATCTCCTTCCTTTCCGGTGTCGCCCTTGACTGGTTCGAACCGGATATCCTCCACCCTAATCACCACAACCCCCCTGCTTGGGCATATTCCTATACCGCTTTCCTTTCAGAACTCCGCACCAACTTCGGCCCCTTCGACGCTGTCGGTGATGCCGAAGATGAGCTTGAAAATCTTCGGATGCGCGACGGAGACCGCATCATGAAGTATATTGTCAAATTCAATCAGTATGCTGCCATTATTGGCTACGGCGACAACTCCCTCCGTCATGCCTTCTACCGTGGCCTTTGCTCTTGCATCAAGGATGATATGGCCCACCACGGGAAACCCGATAATCTCCGTGATATGCAGAATCTCGCTCAAGAGCTCGACGCTCGCTACTGGACTCGGAAAGCCGAAATCTCCCGAGAAAATCGCAGTAACCCATCTTCCTCTTCCAGCAACAGCAACAAGGCGAAGAGTTCTAACTCTTCGTCTCCCAACTCCAACTCCGTGAGCCAAAAGTCCCCTCATTCGGGCTCCACGGGATCATCTTCATCTTCCCCCAACAACTCTTCCTCTTCCAACCCTAAGCCCTACGCTGACAAGCTAGGCAAAGATGGCCATCTTACTCAGGAAGAAAAGGACCGCCGTCGGAAGAATAACCTCTGCATGTTCTGCGGAGGTAAGCACAAGACCAATGATTGCAACAAGCGCAAAGCTGCAGCCTCTGCTCGGGGTCGTGCAGCTGCAGCTACTCCTGCCCCTACTCCCGAGTCCACCGCCTCTATTGAAACGGTTCCATCGGAATCGGAAAACTAGAGAGCAACCCTGTATCCTCCGCACTAGGACAGGGTTGCGTTGACTGTCACAGTGCACTGGAGATCGTAACCCTCAACGCTGCCGCTCTTTCCAATCATTCCCTAACTGTCTCTCTCTCGTCTGAAGTCGGCTCTGGATCAGAGTCCGACGGTTCACCCATTTCTACTATCCTTTGTTTTCTCGCACTCGTTGATTCTGGCTCTAGCCACTGCTTTGTTGATTCGAAGTATGTTGAGGATCACAATCTCCTTACCAAATCTATCCCACCTGTCCAACTTCGGCTTCCCGATGGGCTCCGCTACCTTATGAACCTATCTATTCCTACCCTACCATTCCTTCCTTTGGTGCTTCGGCCGCCCCCAAGATATCTATTATATCGGCTGCCGCTTTTGTCCGAGCTTGTGCAGAAGAAGGGGCTCAGCAGTTCACATTGCAGCCTTCTATGCCTAGTGTTAATGGC